CCTATGTACAGCTATTTTCAGATTTTTTGTAGCAACTTTTGATGAATTATCATTTTGTTTTTCGAAAATCGGAAAAATGGGGTTTTTTACATGATAGTTTCTTTTCATATCCTTTTCACTTGAGAGCAGCTTTAGAAAAATCTGAAAATAGCTGTACATAGGTTTCAGAGTATGCTGATCACATTAGCGTTGTCAAAACTCTCAAAATCCTATGGATCATCGATCTGGTTTTCAAAAGGGTCTCCAGAGACCCTTAGCCGGCGCTTTTTTCAAGTTCTTTCATTCACTTCTGATAGAGGTCATAAAACTGTATTACTTTGGCCTGAATCATTCCAAGGTTCAAAGTTGTCTAAGGCACTTTTTTTCGAGCCCCAAAAGTGTAATTGAAAGCCCGTTTTGGTCGTGAAATTCATCTTTTAGCCGAACCCTTCTGATTTGAAATGCTTTTTATACAGATTCGAATGGAGCATCTGATTTTATGTACATCGCAGCTGGTTTGAGAGCTTTGACAAGCTTTCTATGGTAGGGAGAGGATCAAAACCAAGTTTTTTGCCCAAAAATCGACTTCAGTAATACTCATATCGTATCTTTATGTTACATTTTCGATAGTTCTAATAGTGATTTTCGTAATCAGCGTGATCGACTTGATACGACTATATATGTTTCAAAAACGGATTTTGAAAAACGTTTTCCAAAACCCCTGTAGGGGGGTACAGGGATCAAAAAGCCCGGAAGTGACTTCAATGAAAATCACCGTACTAGATTTGTAGCGCATATCGATCTTGTAACACTCATATAATTATTTCTTAAAAATATCGTGTACCGGAAAATCCCTTCACGCCACTCGTCCTTTATAGCAGTGACTACTGACTATGAGCCCTACAACTGCTGATAGTTTCATGAAAAACTGATGATGTTTTCTGTATGGCCGATAACAACGTAAAACGTCCCCCGTCCTTTGTTCATTTACAATCGATTCAGATCTCTTGTCATTTGGTATAGATTTCAATGTGTTTTCTTCTATTATTGAATTGAATAAATGAATTTATTTGTTCTAGAAACTTGATCATTGTCTAATCAAATCAAATATTTTCTCTTTTCCTGATTATTTCCAGTGGAACATATTGAAAATGAATTCAATGTGAAAATTATTTGTTTGTTTCGATGCAATTGAAGACGATCATCTAGTCAAAATAGACTTAAAAGAAGAATTACAAAATTGTATTTGGTGATAAACGAGCAAACATTTTCAATTCGACATCAAGACTATTTTCCCATTTTCATTTGATTTTATCAATTAAATGACAAAACTACTAGTAGTTCTTTTCTTCTTCTTGTTCTTCTGCTTCGGCCATTTTGCTAGGAATAAAAGGCCAATAGTCAGGATTTTCATCAAGAAACCATTGTATCGCTGATAGACAATGACTTGAATGTTGATAAAGTTTCATGTCATTTTTAACCAGTGTTCTAATCATTTCTAGAGAATATGAAATGTGAGTTTATTCGAAATGAACTTACTCGAATGATTTTAATTTATTTCGAATTCGAGATGTGTTTTTCTTGCCGAGAAGAAATTCTTGTAAAATACGATTTCCATGTTTTTGATGATCTATGCAAACAATAGTATTCTAAAATAGAATACATGTATTTGATATTTTCCTTACAAGCAAGATGATGAATTAAGGATGCACTTGTTTCACCAATATAATCCACTAGTTGTAATGTAGGTAATACATGAGTGGATGCTAAAATTGTATAGGATTTGCATAAAATAATCAGTATGAATATTCGACTAATATTTAGTCTACCTGAAGCTTGATCTTGAGAATCACAAAATATGATTGAAGCGCGTTTTTAATCAGAATCCCTAATGAAAATAAATGAAATATATCTATAAATAATTCAACATCCATTGATTTATTTTTTATTTTCTCGTTTTCATGCTTACCATGTCCCAGTTGCATGCATAATTTCTCTCTGTCTCTCTCTCTCTAGATATATACAAAGGGCGATAAAAAAAAGTTGTGAGAACTAGTAACATGCCGTCCATCAGTAGTATATTGTCTTTTTTGTTGTTGTCTTCATCAGCCTTTGTCAATTTTTGCATTCGAATAGCAACGAGATTGAAATATCTTCTTTGTCTAATTCAACCACGAGAGATTGTACTGTTATTGAAGGTTGTCATTATTTACTTCCATCATTGTTTGGAAAAGTTGAACATCAAGTCTGTTTTTTGTTTTGATTTTCTCAAAGTATGATTTTTCGTTAAATTGAACACATTCGTGTCAATCAGATACTCGTCTTGGTCAATATTACGAATCAATCCATACATCGATTCATTCAACGATTTAGAAAATCAAAAAATATTGGACGATCAGCCATCATTGTATATGAACTGATGAAATCTAGAAGAAATCAAAGAAAAGAACAGCTCTAGGTACCTCAATGAAATACATGACTATCTAGATGATCTATCGATCTTAGAATAACCAACTAAAAACTAAACATAAAACATGAAAAAGAAAACAAAAAGAGGAGTTTAATTATTTCTTTGGTAATTGTTCCAATTGTTTGATATGATCGTAATAACTTCGAATTAATTCTTTTCATTTTTCTATTTCTTGTTTTTCTAAGTTGTTATCGTCGCTTTTCGTCTTGTCCACTATAATCTCTGAATAATCATCCATCTCGACCAGAAAATCATGTTCGTCTATTAACATTAACTTGAAATCATGATTCATGTTACATTGTAAATCAAATGAAGCTGAGAGTTCACAATGACAAGAGTTATTTTGCTGTTGTTGTTATGGTTGACAATTTTGTTGATGCAATTTTTCGTATGTCGATGAATCGAACATTTCATAGGTATTTTCCATTATTAGATCAATAGAAAACAAACAAGATAATCTAGAATGGAAAGAAATAGATAATATTTATTGATGAAAAATGAATAAAAGAAAACAAGCTGTTTTTTTTGTTTGTTTGGTTGGTTTTCGTCTCTAAATATGATTTTCTTAATGTCCAACGAGGAAGATTAACATGTATCCCATGGATAGTCTGGCAAACGAATAATTTCAATTTTGATTCCTTGTAAATCTTGATCATTACATAAGTATGATGGTAAAAATTGTTGTGGATTTTGTCGTGCACGAACTAAATCAACCTCTTTTAAAGTGGAATAGATATACGAAATACATTGTTTTTGTGCTTCTTCACGAGATTTCATTTGTTTTTTTATTGTTTCTTGATCATATTGTCGAATATGTTGACAAGGTTCATCGTAAGTAGCTTGATCATAATACATGGTTATATCTAATACTTTAAAATAAACAAAAAAATCTTCAAGACTTTGACAAATATAATCAAATGAAAATCGATTAAATAAATATGAATATTCTATATATTGTTGTTCATGTTCAAAATCTTCCACTTGTGAACAACATAGAACGGCACGTATAAAAGCTATTTGAATAAGATTCGCTGGTGAAAATGAGCATGCATCATACATGATTGGCATTATATAAGGTTCATATTTCCAATCATGATAAACTTCGGTTTGAAGTATTTGTTTATTCCAATGATGAATTTGTGCATCAAGAAAATGAATATTTTTCGTTTTCATAGTGATATCATATTGAATGAATGAATCTTTCGTTTTCATCTTATTAAAGATGAATTGAAGTTTTTCTTTCGATTCATTCCATGTTAGAAATAGATCCAAAAAACAACGAACAAATATTTCATGTTGATTATTATATAATAGTAATGGTTGTTACCAATAGAATAAATAAATATCTATTAAAAGCTCAATTAAATATAAACCAGTACTACCATCGATCACTTGTCAATAAAGACAATTTTGATACACGAAATATTGATGTTGAAGAAGAAATTCAGTTAATTTTAAAATAGTCATAATATTCATACCTTGTATCATGTCTTCCATGACGTAATCATTTAGAAAACATTTTAAAGTTTGACGCAATGGTTGATGAGGGATCGATACATAAGGATCTTTCACACATACAGTGATAAAGTAAGTAGTTGATTGTAAATAATGTTCTAAGCGTTGAATTAGATCAGCACCTTTTGTCACCGTTGTGAGACGAGCAACTTGATTATAATAGATCGGAGCTAAAAGACGATGTAAATAACGATAGATTGGCATCAATCGACTCAACGTAGAAGTCATCATGGATTCAAAGTAGCGAACTGCATCGGAGTTTTTTCGGGTTTGAGTAAACAGTAAATAAAAACTTGATATCAATATCAAACTCGTTTTTCGAAATGTCGGTTCGATAGAGAAGTCCTCTAGCTTCCAAATGATGTGCCTTGTTTTGGAAAAAATAATCAATCCATGGAATTAGAGAAGAAAAATGTGCAAAAAAATCGGAGTCCGATTTAAACCCGATTCCGACTTTTTTTTGCGATGGTTTTCTGCGTAGAACTGCAGGAATAAAATGTTTTTTCAATCCAAATGCATCATTCGAAAGCTAAAAGATTCCACTATCGAATTCACATCTCGCAAAAGAGCTTGATCTTGGTGTAAAGCTTTTATTTACTGTTTGCTCAAAACTCGAAAAAACTCCGATGCAGTTCACTAGTTCAAAGATAACCTGTTCTTGTTGACATGTACTAGGACTAAATAAGACATAATCTAATCGAACAGGTGAATATCGACAATTCATTTGATGATATTGAAATGAAGTAGTCCATTGATGATCACATAGATTTGTTAATAAAATTTCAATCTCATTTACCATTCTATCGAGTAGCAGATCGGACGCACTTAACTTCACTATCGCCATTTAGTATTAGTAAGTAGTACTTGAATGCAGTTTTCTTGGTGATACTTTCGAGCAGGTTTTCTATTTATGCTCGGTTATCAATCGTTTTTTTCCATGACAATCATTTCGAAGCTATAAAAATGTGACATCTCTCAGCTAGACAGTTTTGGATTACTACGTTCTACACGACTATATCCTTTCAGTAGAGGGTTGGCGACGCTAACGTCGCGTTACTTGTTGATTATGTTCCAATGTTTGAATAGTATTCAATATAGAATTATATTATTGAGAAGAAAATTTTAAAGGAAATACTAAATCTTTGACGAGCATATTATACGATATTTGGATAATAATAACGAAGAAGTTCGTTATACAGATTAATAGAAATGAGTTTATTCTCAACTATGAGTAAGTTAGTTCATATAGGAAATATGAGTTTTCTATTTGCTTAGCAAAAACGATAATGAATATAAAAGAGGGTGACGTACTTTTCGTCTCAAGCCATTCCGAACTCCGGACCTGTGTCCGGATGTTCGGAAATGAATTTTTGTCCTTAAATATTTATGACTGGAGTTCGTAAACATTTTTGTACAGGAGGTCGTAATAGAAAAGCAAGAAAATCGAAATGGTGTTACCGGGTGTTCGAAATAGAATGCTTTTTGCTATATCTGATGTAGCTATCAGAGAAAGTAATGAACAAGTTCGAATGTTCGGAATGTTTGTCTAACGGTATTTTTACAGAAAAAGACCAGAAGAATGAAATGATATTCGCAGGAGGTTCGTAAAAGAATTATACAAGGAGATCGTAATGGATATCAAGACTTTTCTTTCTGTTTTTTTATAGATAAGATAGACTGTAAGACAAGCGTGTCACTTCACAATCTCTCAAAAATGAGTAAATCTCGACATAGTTACGAACATCCTGCAGTTTTCATTACGAACTTCCGAACTTTCTCATTCCGATCTCCAGTCAAAATTTTGCAGTTCAACCACCAACAATAGGTTATCAGAGGTCTTCACCAACTCCTGGACAAATTTCATTCCGAACATTCTTTTTTTTTGTTACATTTTATTCACTTTTGCTATTGAGAGGCCCATTCCGAGCACCCTGTCTTTTTTCTTATGTCTGGAAATCCTAACGAACTATTTCAACCGGAGTTCGTAATGAAAAAGTAAGACGAAAAGTCACTTTCTCATAAAAGATTGGTGTATATGAAAAATGATCAGTTGTTCAGTATTTTCTGTAACAGTGATACTAAGATTTTTAATCTTTTCAAACAATTTTGCTCTCTATAATAACAGTAGAAACTCTTAAAAATGATAAAAAAAAAACATTTCTGTCTCATCATATTACTTTATCAGATAAACTTTTGTTGTTTAAATAGTCCAAATTAAAGTATACAATTAAAATTCTTCAGAAGAGGACTGACAGAATCAATTTATCCCTCAATGATGAGAGATATTGAAAAAGAATTTATTTTTGTTTAAATAGCACGACCACTCACTATTAAGAGAGCGGCCAGGAGGAAACCAAAAAATCGAGATATTTATTCAAAATTTGATTTTTTTTAATTTTGTTATCAACAATCGAAAGATCATCATCTACCTGCAGCTTTTCTAAATAGAATATTACAATATTGGAAATTTCATAATAACATGCGATAGTGTATATCAAATTTCATATGAAATGTCGAAAAAAATACCTACAACATTATCCTAGATTGACATTTTTTTAAATTTTCACATTGATTATTTTTTTCACTGTCGTTTTTAATATATAATTTTTTCTTTAATTCTTACGCTGTCGAACTTATCTCCAATCTTGATTATTGTGGTATATCAATGACTCTGGCGTAATTGCTGTAATAAAGATTTATGTAATGCTATAAAACTCTCAGTAAAGATGCACATTCTCCAATAAAGATACAAAAACTGCGTATATAAATTATAGATATAATTCTGTGCATTATTGTATTTTTCAAAAGATATATTATCATTTTTGACATTACAGACTTCGAAAATGACTTTCCTTTTCAAGTACTGTTTACGATGTGAAACTCTGAGATCCACTTCAAGCAAGTTTTAGATCAAAATGAAGAGAATAAATATGACTTTACCAAAAACTTGCCTTTTGTTTGTGAAAAATACTTTTCACCGAATCAAGCTATAAGAAATCTATATATTTTTGAGTCTCTAAATATTTTAGAACCAAAATCTTATGAAGTCATTGTAAGTTTTTTCTAATTCACAATAAAGTGCCATTCTTTCAGAAAACGATCAGCGAATCTGAAGGATGGATACGTGTTATTTGCATTTGTAAGTAATTGTAAAATTTTGTTTTGCAAATATTTGTAAGTAATTAAAGAAAATAATTAATCTATTTGTAAGGCTTCACTTGTACTGATAATCACTATTCACTTAAATATAATAATCAAATATTCTCAGCTGTTCAGATTCATTTAATCTTACTAAAGTAGTTGATGTGGTTTGTATAGGATCCGTCATTACTTTTCTTTTTTTGATTTATTTTGTTCTTTTTTGATCTAGAGGATAGAATCATTTCGATTTACATTCCACTTGAAGAAAACATTTGACATGCCGACAATGAGAACATACATGACGATTATTGAGATTTATTTTACAATGACTAGAGAGTAGCAGGTCCAGAAAATTAATGCCACCCGGGTCCATATGCGATTTATTTTCAGACTCGGTTTGCATTCAACTGCGAATCTAGGTACTGGAGAGTTCAGATCAACATATAATATTTTCTGTATTCTGTTTCAAAATTTCTTGGCTATTTTTAATTTTGTAATTAAAAAGTCATTTTAAATACAAATAACAAATGAAGTTGAAAAAAACAAGAAAAATGAAAAAAAGTAGACGAATATTAATAAGTTACTGTTGGTTTGAGAATTTTCAATGATTAGTTTTGATTATCAATTAATTCTTTAATTTCCTTTTCGGTTAGCATAATGCTATTTTCAGTTAAGCAATAAAATCTTAATTATTAAGCATCACGTTGCATGATGAACAAGTGAACAACAGGAAATATCTGTACATAAACTTTTCCTCTGAGAATAGCCAATAATTAGCTAAAACCATGAGTCTTCACTTGTTCATATATACAGACGGTGCTAGATATTGGCGAAACACTTAACGGGTCTGGACCCGGTCGGGTC